TTATAGTTGCTTATTGATTTTGATTTTTACTTTGTATTGATTAGTCTTTTTACTGGTCTCTTATTTAGGTTTTCTAAATTCCTGCTATGAGTGAGACCATCCGGTAATTTTCTTTTTCTTTCTGGCTTATTTCACTGAGCATGATCCCTTCTAGTTCCATCCATGTTGCTGCAAACTGCATGTGTTTATCTTTTTGATTGTTGAGTAATATTCCATGGTGTATATGTACCACATCTTCTTGATCCAGTCATCTATTTTTGGGCATTTGGGTTGCTTCCATGGTTTAGCTATTGTAAACAGTGCTGCTATAAACATAGGGGTGCAGGTGCCCTTTGGAATTACGGTTTCTGTGTCATTTGGGTAAATACCTAGGAGTGAAATTGCTGGATCCTATGGAAGCTCTATGTTTAGTAGTTCAAGAAATCTCCACACAGCTCTCTATAGTGGTTGGACCAGTTTGCACTCCCACCAGCAGTGCAGGAGAGTTCCTTTTTCTCCACAACCTCGCCAACATTTGTTGTTGATAGTTTTTTTTTTTAATATGTGCCATTCTCACTGGTGTGAGATGGTATCTCATTGTAGTTTTGATTTGCATTTCCTTGATTACAAGTGATGTTGAACATTTTTTCATATGCCTGTTGGCCATTTGCATTTCTTCTTCAGAGAAGTTTCTTTTTAGCTTTTCTGCCCATTTTTTGACTGGATTATTTTCTTTGTTGTTGTTGAGTCTCATCAGCTCTTTGTAGATTTTTGTAATCAGTCCTTTATTGTTAGTGTTTTGTGCAAAAATTTTCTCCCAGTCGGTGGGGTTTTTCTTTGTTTTGCTTATTGTCTCTTTGGCTGTGCAGAAGCTCTTTAATTTGATGTAGTCCCAGCTGTTTATCTTTGCCTTCACTATCACTGCTTTGGGTGATGTGTCTGTAAAGATGTCTTTGATGTGCAAATCACGTAGTGTTTCGCCTATATTTCCTTCTATGTATTTTATGGTTTCAGGTCTTATGTCTAGTTCTTTAATCCATTTTGGGTTCATTTTTGTGTATGGTGTGAGGTAGTGGTCAAGCTTCATTCTTTTGCATGTAGCGATGCAGTTTTCCCAGCACCATTTATTGAACAAACTTTCTTTGCTCTAGTGCATATTCTTTGCTGCTTTGTCAAAGATTAGTTGACCATAAATCTGTGGGTTTATTTCTGGATTTTCTATTCAAGTCCATTGGTCTGTGTATCTGTTCTTGTTCCAATGCCATGCAGTTTTGATGATTATGACTTTGTAGTATAGTTTGAAGTCTGAGCGTGTGATGCCTCCGTTCCCTTTTTTTTTTTTTTTTTTTTTTTTCAGAAGATCATGGCTATTCAGGGTTTTTGGTGATTCCGTATGAATTTCATCATTAATTGTTCTATTTCTTTGAAGAATGTCATTGAAATTTTTATTGGAATAGCATTGAATCTGTATATTGCTTTTGGTAGGATGGCCATTTTGACGATGTTAATTCTTCTAATCCATGAGCAGGGGATGTCTTTCCATTGCTTTGTGTCTTCTTCTATTTATTTTAACAGTGTTTTATAGTTTTCTTTGTATATGTCCTTTACCTCTTTTGTTAGATTTATTCCCAAGTATTTGATTTTTTTTTGTTTCGATAATAAAAGGGATTTTTTAAAAATTTCTTCTTCTTCAGATTTATTGTTTGTGTATAGGAAGGCTACTGATTTTTGCATGTTGATTTTGTATCCTGCCACTTTACTAAACTGATTGATGAGTTGAATTAGTTTTTCTGTTGAGTTTTTGGGGTTCTCTATGTATATTATCATATTATCTGCAAATAGTGATAGTTTAACTTCTTCTTTTCCTATTTGGATTCCTTATATGTCTTTCTCTTGTCTTATTGCTCTGGCTAGGACTTCCAGTATTATATTGAAAAGCAGTGGTGAGAGTGGACATCCTTGTCTTGTTCCAGATCTTAATGGAAACGCTTTTAGCTTTTCACCATTGAGAATGATACTGTCTGTTGGCTTGTCGTATATGGCTTTTATGATGTTGAGGTATGTCCCTTGTATCCCAATAATTTCAAGGGCTTTTATCATGAATGGGTGTTGCACTTTGTCGAAAGCTTTCTCAGCATCTATTGATAGTTATCATATGGTTTTATATTTCTTTTTGTTGATGTGTTGGATGACGTTGATTGATTTTCGGATGTTGAACCATCCTTGTGTCCCTGTAGTGAATCCTACTTGGTCATGGTGAATTACCTTATGGATACATTGTTGGATTCTGCCAATCTGCAGAGACTTTCATTGGACCACAAAATAACTGTGCCAAAAGGGTAAAGGGGGATGTGCAGAGGCCTCGCCTACGCACTGCCTGGGGAATCCGCGAGCCCAAAACAGAAAACCCTAATGCCACAGAACTCTACTCATGCCAACCACCTGGTATAATCATCAGCATAACCCACCAGCCACTCCTGCACCCTCCTTCCCACTGTGCACTGAACCAAAGACCTCTCCTCTCTGGGCTGCTGCCCCTCCTCAAAGTAATTTCACTCAGTTCTCTAGATAATACTGGACTATTTTCTGAATGCCTACATTATCACCACCTCACAGTCCTCCCTCACTGGCCTGGTCCTAACTATAATCTGACTCCATCTACAGAACAATAGTGCACTGCAGCCTTTTCAGCATTTGAAAAAAGCAAAAGAATTTTCCTAAACCTTGCTATTTTTGTTCTACCACTTCCATTGCATGTGAAAAGTTTTTTTTTTTTTTTTCTGCTTAAAGGGAGATTCTAAAACCTAGAAGTTCTACCTTCATTTCCAGCCACACCTCACTCTCCTCCCTACCCTACTGCCAATACATAAGCTGCTATATCGGTGTTAATAAAATATGTTGTCTTATTGTATTATATTTTTATGCAGTATCACTGGTTCATAAAACTGTACGATTCAGGGGGATGGGTTCACACCTCTTCATGTGTATGTTACTACTCAATGCCAATACCAAAGCACCAAAACCCTTCACCATAGTCCACTGTCATCACAACTACATAACCTGGGAAAATATATTCCTGTTTTCTTTATACTTACAATGGAAATAACAACTATATACAAAGTTTCAAAAATATTAAAATATACATATAGGAAAGCCTGCAAGCCAATATTTGAAATCCAAAGGATCATATGCATAACACAGTAAATGAAAGAAAGCAAGTATTAAATAATCACACTAATGGAAAAAAATGTTGTCTACAGACTGCCTACTTTTTGCAACTGGTTTACAAGGATATAATTACAAAAATTGAAAGTAAATATTTGGAATATTCACAGCAATTTGACACCAGAGGACTCCTCTTTGAGGGAAATATTGTTGAACTTAGTGGTGAGACACAAATGACACTCACTATATCCACATGTAAGTGCCATCTTTTTATACCAAATTTTATTATGCATTTAAATCACATAATTCATATTATTAAAAATGCAGGATTAGTAGTCTAAATCTAAAGTTAGTCTAAATTTACAGTCTCAAGTGGGACCCATGATTCTGCATTTCCAATGAGCTCCAAGTTGTACGAATGTTGCTGGTCCAGGAACCACTTTGAACAGCAAGGATTTAGACAACTTAATCATGTGATCTTCTGACCAGTCATGCTTTTGCACAGACCTGCATTTTGCAAAACCCTCTCAAATATCACAAACTGAGCTCTGTGGTTATTATTGCCTCTATTCAGAGCCACTGCTGCTCACAGGCTCTATAACCTTGGGAAAGCTAATTAACATTTCTCTACTGGCATTTCTTCATCTTTAAGTGGAGAATAATAACTCTAAGTACCTCATAAAATTGTTGTGAGATTTAAATGGACAAATTATGGTAATATTTAGTATAATGCTTGGCTTATGTTGGCCACTTTAAATTATTTTTTGTTTCTTGCCTTATCCACTTAGCAAACTCCTATTCAATCATTACTTCCACAAAGCTATTCTGACATTCTCCCACCACAGAAACACAAGCTACTCACTCTTTTATGATCTTAACACACTTTATAATCCAACTCTGCTATTGAGATATTCCTGACCAAATATAATTTGCTCACATGTTTCTCTCTCACTTCCTAGTGTGCAAGCATTAAGAACCAGAATTGTCCGTATCTCTGTATCCTTTATACATACCATTTCGATAGGTGGAAAAACAAAAAACCTAAATTTTTGTATGCAAATTATTATCAATCAGTCTTACACATTATAGCAGGAATATGTGTTATAAAATGTTATCACTGAAACTATGAAATGCCATTATATTCTTCTGGGGAGATTTTCTCTTCATGAGAATAAAGTCACTCATGAATCATTTTAAACTACTCATATAAGGTTTAGTCTCTATGAGAATTATAAATCATTCATTTTGTGGTATGAGCAAGGAGGAGAATGACAAGATGGGAGCTGTTTAACAGTCTTTTTGGGATGGGATGCAATATTTGTCTTTTTTTAATAAGCAACACTTAAAAGTATAAATCTTGAAATTGAATTATCTAAATAACTTCTCTATTTTATAAAAATAACATATAAGATTTACTAAAAAGAGGTTGCTTTAGCATAGATAAAAGGTAATGCCATACAGCAAATAATCCGATTTAATATTTTGTAAGTTCCTATTTTTAAAATGAATGTCTCCAATAGTCACTTTTCAGTGAAGAATAATTTCTGACAACACTTAGGGCTAAGCATAAAACATAAAACACCCTTCTGAAGCACACTACAAGCTCTAGGAAACATGGCTTTTATGACGGGAATTAAGAAGAAGTTACAGGATTCCTAAGAATGAGGTCATGTTTGACCATTTCCCTAGGGATTACTTGTCTGTGAGTGACAGTTTCATTGTGTCATCTTGTCTCACTCCTGTGTCTCAGAAGAAGACAATAGTACAGGTAGATTCCTTTGAAAGAGAGAATATTCCGAGTCTTTATTTTCTTTATGCCTAAAGTTTTACCAGCCCTGACCATTTCCTCTCCTTACCTCTGTTTTTCAGTGGTGGCAGTGTGGGGTGTAGGTCTTTATTACATTCATTCCGTTCTGTGCAGCATTCAATTGATCTTCTTTGATGAGGAATGGGTGTGTCCTAACATTGAACCCAAACAGCTATTATTATGTTTCCCCAAATTTTAAAGTCACATAATCTAATTAGAAATTAATATTGTTTACAGAACTCATTAAAATTCTGATAATTTTACTTGAACATTTTGCAAAAGTTGTTTTAAGTAATTTCTTTCATTTAGCCATGTAATAGTTTACTGAAACTTTTGCATTTCCACAAAATTAATACATTTGTAATAAATGGTGTGCACAATATAAATTGAAAAGAAGGCCTGGCTTAATTCAGTGAGCAATTTGAGCAAGATGACCTAATGGGTCACAAGCAAACACTAAAGTGAGTAATATTTGATTTCAAAATGAGAATTGGCCCAATAAGAATTCTTCAAATTATTTTCCAAGTTACTGAAACCAGGACAGTCAAGAAAAAACAACTGCTTTGTCTTACTTGAATCCTACCTGTTTAAAATCTAGTCAAAAAAACATTACAAAGTAGAATCATGTCATCTTCCTTACCCGACACTGAAAATCCGAGCCTTCTAGTCCTAGACATCCAGATGTGACCACAGGCATCCCAGAGTCGTCTTCTTCTATCATTGTGAAACAATATCCATCTGTGCTAAAACCCAAACACACTGAGTAAGTATGTGTGTGTGTGCGCACCAGTATGAGAGTGTGTATGTGTGCGAGAGATTGTGTGTGAGAAGGGTAAAAGGAAATGAAAATGTTTACCATTATTTAATTTAAATAAAGAAAAAGTCAATGATCATTATAGGTTACAATCTGTTAAGAAAACTTCTTTATATGACAGTTGATTTAAATGAGCATAAATATTTAGTAGTATCTCTTTTTTTTTTTTTTATAGAGGCATGTTTTTATTTATTTATTATTTTATTTGTTTGTTTTTGTTTATACATGCACTGGGTACAGTCAGAAGCACGGGAGGGTGAGAGAATTCACCAGAGCCAGAGCGGGGAGCAGAGCAGGCAGAAGGACCGAAGTACACTGCTGAGGGGAGCAGCGGGCGGCAGGAGAGGTCTGCGCGCCATGTGGGACCCTCCTCCGGTGGCCGGGGAGCAGCCGGGGATCAACTGCTGCGCCACCGGGGAGGCCCAGTAGTATCTCCTTTGCCAAAAACTTTTAAGAAACAAAGACCCCAAATTTCCATACAATGTATACCATTAACAGCCATAGATGCCAAGTAGTTACTAACACTTATTTTGGTCCTTTGTAAGTTATACTTTTCACAAATCAAAAAAACAACTATATGAAAAAGGTGATATTACTTCACCAACTATGTGAAGGATATGATTTTGAAAGAGTTCTTGTAATTCCCAAAGACAATACAGCCAGTCAGAGGAACAAAAGGGACTTGCACTGTGCAAATGAACATGTGTGCTGGTTTACTTGCTCTGAGGTGGTGCAATTACCTCTTTTGAAGGCAAACAAACTAAAGATAGGTAGGAGCTGGGGTCAGCAGAGTTGAGATGACCAAGATTCTGCCATTGTTGTACCTGCTTCTGGGTTGGCCTGTCATGTGAAAACACTAGCTTTGTGTGAGTGGACTGGGCTTAAGATGGGGGTGGGGCAAAGATGGGAACAGAAAGATGGGTTTCAATAAGACCACTGAAACCAAAGAAACAACATTTTTAATTTCTAGAAGTTTTTCTAGATTCAAAACAATCTTCACTTTTTCTATCTCATTTAACCCTCTCTAATAATAAAAAAAGAAATATTTTTCTGTTTTACAGATGAGTAAATAAAAGTTATGAGAGTGTAATCAAGTTATACAAGGTCATAAAACAAACAGTTATAGAATCAGGCCTTGAATCAAGGACCTCATTTCATTTCCACACATTTTCCACTATCCTATTCTATGTTAAAAATGAAAAACAAGAACTATTATACACAGAACTATTTATAAACAGACATTACTCTCTCACAAGTTTGGGTGATGCATGGCAGAAGATTCTCAGTATAAATCATAAGCCACTACTGCAAGTGCTAAAAAATAAAGTACTAAACTGTATCTCCATCCTTTTCTCTCTCTATATGTGAGTGCTTAGTATCCAAGACAGATAAGATAATGTAGTTTGAAAAGGTCAAAAGGAAGCTCTGATCATGTACTAGACATGACTTGTGGGTTTGTATTTTCTGTATTAGTGATCACAGCATCCTCCTATACATCAGCCCTTCAGTTATCACCAACACCTGAGAACACTCTGCTTGGTTTATAAGCCTGAGGTGATCCAAAATACCTCAGTATATAAGAACTAGCAGAGCAAAGTTCAACATACCAATGAATGGCCAGAGAGGACCAATAATAAATCTGTTAGACTGAGGTCAAATGCATGATATTGTTGTGGTAGAAAAACTAATACTGAACAGTCTATGCTCTGAGTTCTTTGGGGCCTTCTACTTAATTGACTGAAATTACTCTGAAAATCTATAGCATGTAAACACTGAAGGCAATAAATAAAAGAGCTATCCATTACAAATTTAAACAATGCAAAGAATACTCATGTAAGTTTGAAATGTTTTATATAGACTATTACCCTATCATCCTCAGAGTTTTGAAAATGATAACAAGATAATGAAGATTTATGAAGAAAACAAATGTTAAAATAATTTTAACTAAGACTGAAAGCAATCAGATGTATATGTGAATGTAGAATGAATCATTCATTTATAATAATACTTCAAATAGAAAAGATTGAACTAAAACTTCATAAAAATGCTGCCACTGGGCCTCTCTGGTGGCACAAGGGGTTAAGTACTGCACTATGAAGCAATCTGCAGCCTCTGCAGCACAAGTTTGATCTCCAGCCTGCCAGGAAGCAACCCACATGGCACATCAGACCTCTCCTGTCTCACCCGCTGCTCCCCTTAGCAGTGTATTTCAGTCAATCTGCTTGTTCTGTTCTCCACTCTGTCCCTGGTGAATCCTGTCACCCCCTGCATCTCTAGCCTGTACCCCAGGTCTTGTATGAATAAATAAAAGTGGGAGAATAAAGGGACCAAGGTGAGGGACAATCTCATAAACACTGCACAAATCTTTAAAAAAAAATGCTGCCACTATACTGTAGGTAAAGAAAACAATGAACAAAATAGAACAGGTATATACCAACATAGCTCTCATGCCTCTCAAAATGTTAATTCATGAAAAAGCAAACATTAAAGAAGTTAAGGGTCACATAACATCAAACTAATGAAACAATTTTAGTTATAACACTTAGATGGTTCCATGGTTTCAAGGTTCTTTGAGTCTGCCTTATGTTCCCAACCAAATGGGTGTCTGGAGCTAGATACCATCAGGGAATTCACTGCTTCAAAAGATTTTCAGTGTGTCCAAATGAACATGTTCATGGAAGAAAGGGGTGTACTTGTTTGAAGCTTTCAGGCACCAGGCTGCTCCCTTTCAGGTGAAGTATCCCTAGCCTGCAGAGCTCTGACTTCTCATTGTGGCCCAACGGATTTATCAACGACCTCTGGACTCAAACTCATTCATTAATTGAAGAATAGTTACGAACTAATTTCATAATATGCCTAAAATTACACTGCCAGCATCTTTATTTGTAGTGTTCTACATATTGTTTAGTTTTAGCAAGTGCAGTGTTTATGAGATTTCCTTATACCTTGGTCCCTTTATTTTCCCACTAAGATTTTATATTTCTCTGTTGCAAACTCAGTGTTGATTAGAGAAGGGACAATAGGAGAACTTCTAGATAGTTTATATCTTTATAAAGATTAATTTAAGAATAAAATAAGACTTTTAAAATGTTAGTTGAAAAGAGTTAATTCTCTCTTCAATCAGAGTGAAAGAACATTTAAAAGCATTATTAATATAATTTTAAAATTATTATTAAATAGGCCCTCCCTGGTGGCCTAGGGGTTAAGTCTCAGTGCTACGGCCTAAGCTAACCCACATGGTGCAGCAGACCTCTCCTGTGTTGTCTGTTCTGCTCCCCGCTCTGTCTCTGGTGAATCCTCTCACCACCCCCCACCCCCAGCACCTCTGGCCTATACCAGTTCTTCTACACAAAAATAAATTAAAAAAATATTATTAAACAGTTTAAAAATTTGCTGTTGACATAAATTAATTATATGAATGGATATCCAAGTTAATCCATGAGGATTAACAGCTATCTTGACTGCTCGATTTATTCCATATTTTTTTCAGTGTATGAGAACAAATAACACCCTTATAATTTCTTTCATATTTTTATTAAATCATAATCTACCTGAAAAAGCTACTTGATTTTAGGTCATTTGAAAACAGGTCCTTGAGAACATTCTGTCTTCTAAAATATTAATTTCATATTAAAGGGAATAAAAAGAGTTTTTAAAATTGCTACAGGTAAACACAAAGATATATACAACTTGAGAGTTACTCTTTAAACTATATAGATTTTAGTCAGGTAACTAAAATAACTGGTAGTTTCTTAGAGCTTCACTAACAATAGTTCTATCTACTAATATTTATCGAGCTTACTATGTCTAGGCAAATTATATGCTGAGAGCACAGGGGTTCTGTGTTTGCTTCTGAGGAGCTCATGCTTATGCACAACTGTGATCCTAGAGAGAGACTCATTCAACTCAAACATCAAAGAAGTTAAGGGGCACAAGTTAAGGGTTAAGGGCTAGTTAGAGTTTTCTACTAATTAGGGATAAAAGCAAAGAAGAATGTTGAACAGTATTAATTACCAAAATAACAGAATCCTAAAAATTTATTTCCCCCCCTAATCATCTTAGCTGGATGTGTTACCATAGAGGTGGAAAGGAAGATAATAAAATATATATACTGCTAACTGTTCCCTTTTCTGGCATTTCCTCTGAGAGATCATAGTACTGAGGGAAGGTGAAATTACAACATAAATGATAAGTTTCAATGTGGGTGATGCCTTTTAACTTTTTATTCAAAGACTTGGATGTACTATATATCCTTTTTCAGTAGCCACACCAGAGGCTTAGTGTTGTGTTCCATTTTCTGTGATATACCAGATTTCCTTGAATTTTTCTCAACTTTTATATTAATCAAGTCTTTGTATATTCTCACTCCTACCATTCTGTGCAGACCCACCTTACCTTTCATCTTGCCTGGTCTGAGAGCCATCGAGAGGACTTCTTCTCCTCTCTCAACTGATCCATTCTGTCTAATACTATGTGAGAAATTGTGGGTCTGCTAGATTAAAGCGCCCTGTTCATCCACCATTATTGTTACCTGTAGTTCTGCACTTCTGTACAAAGATCAGATCTGTCCAATTAATCAGTCATAGCAAAATCTTAAAAGGTGCCTTTCAAATAAACAAAGAGAAGAAAGCTTGGGAAGGGTATGCATCTCGAGGTATGACTAGGAATGCCCGGGGGACCGAGGATAAGGGGCCCTTGAAGCTGATCAGTGGCAAGCCTTGTTGATAAGATTAGAACCATGACCAAGGGTCTGAGGCATGGTTTCGATCACAACACTTCAAGAATTACCTGGTCACCAGACTCACATCACCCTGAAGCCCTAGATGAAAAAACACATTCTTTTGTTTCACCCAACTTTTTATCCTTGTCCTGCTACCCCACATAACTGATGCTGTATGATTATTTTATCAATAAAAAGGCCAGGATCTT